CTAGGAGTTGATATGTTTGAATAAGGTTAAGATTTAATATATTCTGATAAAGATAAGGGTTAATAATATGTTTTTGATAAGGTTAAAGGTTACTAATATATGTTTTGATAAGAGTAAAGGTTAATATGTTTAAGTGAAGATAAAAAGATAAGAAATGGGTGGATAGCAATGTTGAAAACCATCGATCATATTATCAATTGCAATGATAAATTGCAATTCTTCTCTTTTCTTAGCTCATTTTAAGTCTTCAAATTATTTCATTTTGTGATTGTTCAATGTAAAACTGTTTCTTTCCCATATCAAATAATACTACTCATTGACCACATCCTGACCACGGTCCATTATTCTCACCAAAAATTCGAATAATATAACATATGGAATATATGTATATGTGTATGTGTGTATGTATATATATGTGTGTGTGTATGTGTGTGTATGTGTATGTGTATGTGTGTGTGTGTGAGGAAGAGAGAAGAAAAAAAAGAAAGAGTGAAGGAAGATAGACAAAATGTCATCATTAAAAATGGACATTAAAAAGGATGGACATGAAAGAGCAAAATTAAATGATATCTATCTATTTTGTACAAATAAATGGTTGAATTAAAATGATTTTAACCCATTCAATAACCTGTTTTCATTCATTTCACCCTTATTGTACCTTTAAATTTTTTTTTTTAAATCAAAGTTTGAAAAAAATGATTGGGAAAGAATTGAATGATTCTTTTTTTTTTTGAATTCTTTTTAAATTTCTCTTCTTATGAAATAATACCAATTAAATTTACTCTTTTTTATGTCCAAAATTTCTTTTCCGTTTCATTTTTTCTCTTTTTTTTTTGCTAAATTTTAGCATTTAATGAATTTTATTTTGTTATTAAAACCTTTAAAATTTTATAATATTTATACTAATTAAATAAGTGAATATTTGCAAAGACTTTCTTTCGAATTTTTTTTCCGCTTAATGCTTAATGAAATTGCCAATTTTTATCATTTATTGGTTGATTTTTAATTTCGAATTATTATTCATTAAGTAAATCCTAGACTTATGTATTATAAAATGATAATATAACAATCAGTAGTAAAATAAACAAATAATGTCGTAATAGTGCCTCAATTAACTATCTTTTTTTTTTATTTCCATTATTTAAATTTTAAAATTAAAATTCATTTGCTAAATTGAAAGTTTTGAGTGGAAAATATGAATTGGATAAATTTTTATTACAAATTTGCAAGTCTTCAGTTACATTTTTGTTTTTGTTTTTCTGCATTTATCTTTCGCAAATTACACAAACATATATGAAATGAGAAGCATTTTATCACTTGTCAATTTGATATCACATTAAATAATCACTTCGCCTATTTGTTTTCCTGCATTCATTTCTCAATTTTCAAATGTAACCAATTTGAAAAAAAGCAAACAACATTTTATAATTTCATTTAAGGCAATATTTCCATTATTTCATTTGAAATTCGTCAAAATTCCACTAATTTTATTTTCACGCAAATAAAAATGCCAATGGAACAGATGGATTAAAGGTGAAAAAGAGATAGGAAGGTGAAGGTGAAGTTGTAAAAACTTTTATCACAAATTAAATTATTTTCGTGCAATTGTAAAATTAAAATTTAATCAAACATTGGCATTGCCACTGTAAAGTTCGTTTTTTTTTTTTCATCGTTCTTCTATTTTAAAAATGATAAAATTGATAGATAACTGTTGACAATTAATTTTCTTTTTCCAAATTTATATTTTTGTCAACAAATTGTCATTCGAATCTTTGAATTTCATATTTCTCAATACCAGATGGAAGAAAACTGTCATCAGTCAAATTTGTCATTGAACCCTTTTGACGTCTATTTGCATATATCTAAAAATATATTCGGTGACATCTTTGATCCTTCCATATGCTTAAATAATTTATTCATTTTCTTGCTTCAAGGATTTTATTTGTAAATGTAAATTCAGCATTTCTTATTAGCAGCATGACTATAGCTCTTATCTGTTGTCGCCTTCCTTTATTTAATTAATGACCTTCAGGACATCTTTCACATTTTATTCAGATGAAATATATCGCACTATTGTTATATTATTTGTTCGATTCTTACTGCGTTATTTATCTTTTTAATTCTTTATCAGTTATTAGTTCTGGAATTTTTTACAGCAGATAATTATAATTTAAACTTGAAACTCGCTAATGTTTCAAGTGATATGCAAATAACTCAATTATAACAATAATTATTAACAATAACGATAATTATTAGTTATTATTAAAATGAAATATTAATTTTAGATGAATTAATCTAATTTTGCTTCCTTTTCATCTAATTTGAAAAATTATGGCGGAAATTTTCAAATGCGCAATTGAATCATTTCTTTTTTCTTTTTTAATTATTCACTCAAATATATTATTTATTGTCTTTTTATTTCGGAAAAAAATCATTCATTTTTTCAAATTACAATCAATTTTGCTCTTTTTAAGCATGATTCATTCATTTTTCATTTCATTTCAATTTTACAAAAGAATTAAAGAATTTTTATATTTCACATTCATTTAATGTCATACTATTACAAATTGTATGTGTTGTAACAACTTTACAATGTAATATTTCATTCTTTTTCAAATTAAATTTGAAATCTCTGTAGAAAATTCACAGTTTTTGATATAAAATATAATATTTTAAATTCTTGTTAGAATAAAAAATTTCATTTCTAACAATTTCTTGCTTTTCTTTCAAAGATTATTAGGTACATAAGTACTTTTTTCCATTATGAGTTTAATTTAATTGATATTTATTTAACTGCAAATATCGATATTACTAACTGTGCGGCATCTTTGAAAGTGATACTAATTCGTAACAATTAGAAC